GAGAGAGAGAGAGAGAGAGAGAGAGAGAGAGAGAGAGAGAGAGAGAGAGAGAGAGAGAGAGAGATCACATGAAGCGAGTTTGCAACAGGAAAACTCCCCCTTCTGCTCTGCCGCGTGCCTGCCTCACACCCTCCATCTTTCTCGTGCAGGGCCGCGGCAGGAATCACTTGAATGACTATGTCCTTACAGCAAGGAGATTCTACAATGATGAAGAGGTGCACAAGAGATGTAATAACCTAACACATGATCATTGTAGCTGTACTCAGGCCAAATTTTGGTGCCAGATTAACAGTTGTACTGCCCATGCCTCTTATGTTTGGGGAGAGATGGTAGTAGTCTGTTGTGGCAGCCAAGTGACTCCTTACAAGTCACAATCAAACGCCAATCAAAAAGAAACTGTAATAACGACATGTGACGACAGCAAAAACTTGCCCGCTCAAGAACTTGCCCACTCTGCCGAGGCATCGCATCTCAGGCACCCTGTCCAACTGGATGGGATGCCAGTAACTTAGGGGGATTCGCATGCACGGAGGGATTGAAGGGTCAGAAATGCAGAGGGCAGAGGGAACACGCACCTTCAGCTACAGTCACAAATCACGAATGCTCCGCAACTTTTGAGTATTGCCAAGATGCACCGGGTTTTACAACAACTAACAGGTTGTAGACCAGTGCTACACAGCCAAGACAACAAAATTGAGCAGGATAAAACCATCAGAAGAGAATCTCCAAGCCAAGCTAAAAGACTAACAACAAACACGACTAGCGAAGTGCCCGCAGTGCGGGCGGTGCGGGCGGTGCGGGCGCAGAAAAGACAAATGCAGTGGGTGACCTCACACTGCATTTCGGATGGCTCGCCTCGAAGATGTTCGTCCGCAGAAACGATGACAGCCTACCGCGGGGCACGAAACGACAGCCGCGCAAGAAATAAAAAAAAGGAAGGAAAATCAAAGGGGGGGCAACACAAAACGACAAAAAGGAGAACGAGGACACAAAACGACGACCAACCGGGCGGGGGGGGGGGAGAAAAAGGGCCCGCATATCGGATGGCTCGCCTCCAAGATGTTTGTCTGCATCACCGCCGGCCGTGTGCCCTGCCCCCGGGGCGCATACTCTCGCTTAATGGAGCGCTGTGAACATTTCAGTACGCGCACCCCTCTGCACACTCCCCCGCCCTCGATCGCTTTCATCCGCTGCCCCTCACCAAAACTTCGACCCAAATCCGGCGCGCAGCGCGTCATGAACCTCCCCCCCAAGGCCAATGCTGCTTAAGGGATAGGATTACCCAGCTCTGAGATGGACATGCTGTGGAGAGGAAAAAGGACGGGGAAGACAAAGAAGAGGGCAACTAAAAGGAGCAAGAGGAGGACAACGAAAAGAACTGGTGGGAAGAAGAACGATCAAGAGGAGGACAACGAGAAGAACTGGTGGGAAGAAGAACGGTCAAGGGGAGGACAAGGAGGAGGAGCAGCAGCAGCAGGAGGCGGAGGCTGAGTAGAAGTGGAAGAGACAGGAAGAGGAGAGCAAACGCGTGGGGAAAGACATGAGCGAGAAGACAGCAGGAGGGAACACAAGAGGAGAAGAAATGGAAGAGCAGGAAGAAGGAGAAGGAGAAAGAGAAGACAAAGGTGACGTGATGACGCAAAAAGAAGACGGCGACGACGATGAATAAGAAGAAGATGATGACGATGACGGTGGCGAGGGAGGAGGAGGAGGAGGAGTGGGGAAAAGGACAAGCGAGCAGAGAGTGGGAGGAAACGGAGAAGGAAAAGATATGGAGACCAGGAAGGAGAAGAAAAAGAAAGAGAAGACAAGGTGGCATCAATGACGATGACGGGGGAGGAGAGGAGGAGGAGGAAGAGGAGGAGTAGGAGGAAAAGAATAAGAGGAAGAAATAGAAGAAGAAGAAGACGAAGTGGGGAGCAGAGAGAAGAAGAAGAAGAAGAAGAAGAAGAAGAAGAAGAAGAAGAAGAAGAAGAAAGAAGAAGAAGTGGGGAGCCAGGAGGCAGAGGATCAGGATCTGACGATGATGCACCCAAAGAATGGAAATGAAGTGAAGAAAAGGCAATGCAGACATATCAGGGTAAGTGTTGGCAGCCAAGAAGGAGTTTGTTTCCGCCGGCAAATGCTTTCTATCGATATCGATATTCGAAGGCTCATTGACCTGTCTTCAGCTGCATTCCCTGAGCTGACATCTGACGATTTTCCCAAACTGGCTGCATAGGACGTACCCTTCCTCAATCTGTCTACTCTTTCCTATAACCACTAACGACAAGCAGGGAAAAAAAAACATGAAGCTGAAGTTACCGGCAAAGCCATTTCAGACCTACCGGTTCTACCCCACCTTCCCAGGACCTCTTCTTCAGTGAAGCAACTCGACAACTCGCTGCAGGCAGAGCATTCACACTGATTGCCCCTCCAGACATCGCGTCAACCACGTCATTTGCATTATGGATGTCGGCAGCGCCGGAACCGAATGCGAGGTTGAATATCTCGTCATAGTGCTGTACAAAGTGAACGCTGAGTCCTTCTTTGACATGAGCTGGCAGTTCGTCAAAATCTCTTTTATTTGCTTCAGGGAAAATCAAGGTTTTCACACCACTGCGCCTTGCTGCAATTGTCTTTTCCTTCACACCTCCAATTGCAAGCACGCGACCTGTGAGAGTGACTTCCCCAGTCATAGCCAAATCCTTCTTCACAGGCTTGTTCATAGCCAAAGAAAGCATGGAGGTTATCATAGTGCAACCGGCCGAAGGTCCATCTTTGGGGGTAGCGCCAGCTGGCACGTGCAAATGCATCCGAGCCTCGGAAAAGAAGTTATTCTCGGGCTCCTTCTCAGCCAAAATTCTCCGCGAAAGTGTGTGCGCGATCGTTGTGCTCTCCTTCATAACATCCCCCAGTTGCCCTGCAGTGGACAGAGTTGAGAAGGAAATTTCAGTCAGGGACATAACCCATAACCGTCTACAGCAAAGAACGTACTCGGAATGGACATTCAAAGAACAACAACAACCTGAGCTTTTCAACACCAACACTGGCCTCATTTGTCACCATAACAAGGGAAAACAAAACAAAACAAAAATTCAGCTGTGAGGATGAATACAAGCTGCGCAGTCACCAGTGTGCTTTCGGAGCGAAGTTTTCATAAAGTCAAGCCAGTGCCCAGATCCTGTACTTAACTGCTGGATGAATGACACACACGTGCGGCTGTTTACAAACTGATCAAGGGTTCAAACTTCAACGCCCCAAATCCTATTGGATAGGACAATGTTAGAAGGTAATCCTGCTCCAGTGAAACAGTTTTCACCTTTGGCAGTAGCCGATGCAGATCCCAGGGGTCGATCCCTTGACCTCAGCTTACCTGTGTACAGTATCTGCACATTTCTCTTATACACATCTAGATGTGTATAAGAGACAGGAGAGAGAGAGAGAGAGAGAGAGAGAGAGAGAGAGAGAGAGAGAGAGAGCTCCTTGCACTGCTCCTCGTGCGGCCTTTGCTGCACCCACTGCCAGCCCTCCTGCGCCCGCTCCGTGTCTGCTCCTTGCCTGCTATGGCCGCCTCGTTGCCCTGCTTCTTCCTCCCTCTGACAATGGCGGTAGTGGCGGGCATGCAAGCTCGAACGTTGTTGTGGGAGGGGGGGCGGCCGAACTCGCAAGACGGGATGATGAATTCAAAGACTGTGCCCACTACGAAGCCGCCACGATGCAAGGATGACATTCAAACGGGCAGAAACATAGAAGGAAGAAAACTTCCCATAGGCGAAAAGAAAAAATTCTGGCCCTGCCGAATGCCCCTTCAGGGCCAAAAAATTTTTGCTCGTATTTTTGGCTGGCAGCCCTGGGCGAGACGAAATGCCCTGGACAAACAAAAAAACATTTGGCCATTGGCCAAAGGGCCAAGAATCTGGTCCGGGATCCGGACACGTTCATCGGACACCGGACACCGGAAACCGGACACCAGACGGTCCGGATCCCTGTCCGGAGGTCCGGATCGCTGCCATGGTACTGAACCAGGGCATTGCATAAAATGTGCTCAATGGTTTCTCTACATTCTCTCCCTGGGGACGTAGGCAGACAAAAATTGCACCATGGGGAGGCTAGACCTCTCTGTTCCAAGGAAGAGTGATCAATAATCCAATCATTAATGCAATATGCAATTTGCCACTGCAATGAGGCAAATTTAGTTGGTCTTTGTCTTATATTTAAGAAAAGAATTATTTTCTTGAGTAGATTTATGTTTAAATTTAAGTGCCTAGACCATCTCTTCTGCGAAATTGCTGCAATGTCCACCTCTGGTCGTAGCAGTTTGTAAGTCGTTTTTACCGTGATTGACTATGGGGTCATTGGGCTACCTCTCATGCTAGTTTGCCAAACCCATTCTTCTGGATCTATCGGGAGTTCAGGGATAGGAAACTCTGGATGAAAGACTCTCCATCCCTTTATAGCGGAGATAAAAAGGACTCTAACTCGGTAGAGGTATGGAAAAGGGAAAAAAAAAGAACTGGATCTAAAGGAAACCGAGTCAAAAAATGATCTCTGTTCATTTTGAAGATATTTATAGAGAGCCTTGTGGGAGATTGTGCACCACTTGACCCACCATCCCCTGACCATTTGGCTGGAACCCACCACCCAATCTCCCTCCTTAAACTTAGACCTTTTTCTTAGAGTTCTTACCCAAACCAAGGGTATGAAGAAAATAATTTGATCCAGGTTCTGATTGAGATGGTGAGCATATCGAAGTGTATGTCTCAATTGTTCTGTCGTTTTCCCGTCTTTCGAACTTGGATCCTATAAGTCTTTAATTCTGCTAATTCTTTGTTTGACCCACTGAGGTTGAACTGTTGTAGATGCAACCATTTGCATTCGTGATCCATGGATTGCCAAGAAGCGACTGACGATGTATCTCCTCATGGCGGTCAGGAAAAGGTTTGTTAGATAATGGTAGGCGACACCAATATTCCATTATCGTTATCCGTAAATTGTCCATAATCAGATCACTTATAGCTCTACCCTGATCCTCTTTTTCTCTAGAGTGCGTGTGAGCACTTGGGATGGACCATAATCGATCCTCAATCCATTGAAGAGGGTGAATACTCTCATCAAATAAGGGGGCGAGGCTACAAATTTGTTCCAACACCATTCCCTGCCATGATTTCTCAGTGGATAAGATCATTTTTTTATCCATTGGATGAATAAGGTTTGATATTAAAGCGTAGGATCTAGGATTCTCAGACCCCCCTTTGTTTTTTGTTGGATTATAAAAAGCCAAGCCACCCTTGGAATTACCTTGTCTTACTCGTCATTCCTTTTCCATAAGAATGTTGTGACTTGTCGTTGAAGGATTTTTGTTCGTGCTTGATGTATAAGACCAGAGGGCTGATTTCTATCAGTTGGAAGCTATGACCACATTATTAATAATGAGTGCGCTTCCAAAAATGGAAGTGTGTTGATTTTTCCATTGATTCAATTTTTCTAATGTTGGTTTGCATATCCATTCTTCATGGTAGCAGGTTTACCTAATGCTGTAAGTGACACTCCTAAGATGTATACCGGGGCTTCTAACAGTAACCATTGAAATTTTTGGAAGCTCTGGAGGACGGTCACTGTTGGAATGAATTCAACACCCTTGAGTCTTTTTGCCCCAGTTAACCAACATGTTAGAGACTTGTGTGAATTTACACATTAGGCTTTGGATCTCCTCCATGTTTGATAAAGATGTTTCTAACATTATTGTGAGATCATCAACAAACATTGAGCTAATGGGGATAGCGTCTTCTAGGATACCTGAAATATGCAAACGTTTCAAATTACGATTAGTTCTGAGATTGACCCCTAAAGCTTTCATTATGATAAGAAACAGAAAAGGGGCTAAAGGATCTTCTTACCTTACCGATCTTTGTAATCTAATTTTCGAAGAAAGGAGCCCATTAACTTGAATCCTCGTTGTGACATTTGTATGAAGAATCTGCCCCCATTTTCTTGAGTCTCAACAAAAAATCATTTTAGTCGGACAGACATAAAAAAAAACTTCAATTTATATGATCATAGGTTTTTTCAAAGTCAATGAAAATGAAGGGAACATTCTATTTTGATTGGCAAGAGAGCTTAATCATCTCATTAATTAGAAGAATATTATCCTGAATGTTTCTGCCATTTATAAATCCAGTTTGTGAGGGATGAATAATATCTGGCATTACCGGAATCATATGATTAGCCAAGGTTTTAACCAATATTTTATCAACCACAGTAAGTAAAGTTATGGGTCTATAATTTTTTACATTTGTTTTAACCCCCTTTTTGTGTAAAAGAGTGAAAATCCCCTGACTCGCAAGTTTCCCCATTTGTCCCGACTCATAAATCGATTCGAAGAATTGCAACAAGTCTGATGAGAAAGTTGGCCACATGATTTTGCAAAATTCTTTGGGAAACCTATCAATACCAGGGGTTTTATCCACATCCATCTGCAATAACGCTGTCCATGATTCCACCAATGTTAATAGTCTCTCCAAATGTTCTCTTTGCTCTTGAGTAAGTGTCTGGGTTAAGGGTGTGAGGAAATTTCGTATAGCTGCGTCATCTTCCTCTATCTCTTCCATATTTTTTGATGAGGTGAAACATTTTTTATGAAAATCATTGGCGATTTTTAGACTTCTTGCCGATGATATTGAAATAGATGGTTCTAAAGATTCAATAGGATTTTGCAGTCCCTCAATAGTTGTACGTCGTGACCTAACACAAGCTTGTGGAAGCTGGTTCTCCCAGGAGGTGTAGAGTTCCCTGTAGAAGGATAGAAGTTGATTCCTTGCCAACGGCGTTGAGCAAAGGATAGAAGTTGATTCCTAAGCTCCTGAATGTCAACTGAGTAAGTATGATTCTGTGGTTGATCATTAAGTTCACAATTAAGGATTTTTTCTAGGATGTTCATTTCTTGGAGAAAACAATTTTTTGGTTGTAATTTAGAAAATTCATTACAACTTCTGGTCATAAAGGCTAACCCATTATTGAACCAAGTCGTGTAGGAATCATGTTTATCATTTTATCCGTAGTAGTATGCCAGTAATCCCAAACAACGCCTTGACGAACCGAGCGTGTCATTTTGAAGGGGGTGGAGAGGAACCCATCACTTGCATTTGACTGTGAGCATCGTTGTACCGTGCTATGACCCATCTTCAGAAGTTGGGTCCCACCCCCATCCGCTCTATACATTGCTGCTGGAAGTTCCAATTGACTTGGTCATTGGCCTTTTCAAAGTTGAAGAATAGGATAGTTGCGTTGAGTCGTTTGTCTTTAATGTAGCGGACCGACTTTGTCAGTGTCATGAGTCGCTCGTCTTTAATGTAGCGGGCCAACTTTGCCAGTGTCATGACGTTGTAGAGAACGAACCTTCCTCGGATGAATCCGTTTTAATCGATGTGAAAGCAGTGGCTCGTGATCCTGCTGAGGCGGTTGGCCAAAAGTTTGGTCGGGACTCTGTATACGACGCTCAACAGCGTAATCGGTTGTAGTTCTCGATGTTTGTTGTATCGCCTTTTCTGTACAGTAACGTGACAACTCTCGTGCTTATATATTTTCCCAGCCCTTCCTCTCTCTCTCCGCTTTGTTGAGGAAGGACATGTACTCCTGTTCAAACACTGGCCAAAAGGTTTGCCAAAACTCCTTCACGTTGGAAAGACCATCTCGGCTTGGCGTCTTATTCGGTTGAGTAAGTGCAGCGCTTCTCCCACTTCTGCTTGAGTGAGTGGTTTGTCCAATTCTTCGCTGTGTTCTTGTGACAAAGTCTTGTCTAGATGGTTCATAACTTGTGTCTGGCCTCCCTGACGGATGCTTGTGGAAGCTGGTTCTCCCTGGAGGTGTAGAGTTCCCTGTAAAAGTCTGCTGCCGCCGATAGCATGAGGTCCGGGTCTGAAG